TTGGTCAACCGCGAAGTCAAATCGCAACCCCCCCCTCCAAGGACCTCCTTCACATTCCTCTCCTTCGGTCTTTACGAGAGAGGGGAGGGGGAGAGGTCCCCCAGCACAGCCCCGGACAGCAGCTATCACAGCACGCAGATGCCCATCCAACACCAAGCCCTAAAATGCGCGCACACACCCAGACACGCGTTTAAGGACCCGATCACCTACCTTTGGCTGCTTCTTTTTCTCCTCCTTCCTTCGGGAATCGCGCAGCCTCTTGGGCAAGTTTTACTTCTTCCCCCCTTTAAGGTTTTCAGGAAAGGGGGAGGGAGGCAAAAGGCAAGCTTTGTGCTTTTATTTCCCCTTTGAATTAGGAAAACTGCTCCCCTGTTTGTCTCCTTTTTGCCGTTCAGGCTGACAACTTCGTGTTAAAAAAAGACACTTGTGTGGGACTGCACACGCCTTTAAAAAAACACACACACACACACAAACTGGTCCTTGGGCAAATGCAAAAGAGGGGGGGAAAATAAGCGTGCCGTTTCCTAACAAAGCCCCGAAGAAACTAAGCATAAAATCTCTGTCCAGAGAAGCTTTTTTAAAAAACACATACAAAAAGGAAAGAGTCGAAGAAAAGCCGAGCGGCGGTGCGGTGCGCCGAGCCTCTCTCTTCTTCTTCTTCCTCCTCCTCCTCCTCCTCCTCCTTCGCCGCCGCCGCCGCCGCCGCCGCCTCTTCCTGCGGGACCTTTCTCTGGCTTTTTTTCCCCCCTCGCTCAGTTCCAACACCTAAAATGGAAGTTGCGCCCAGCCAAAGGCAAGGCAGGCTGGGTGGTGACAAACGGTGCGCTCCGGCCCGGCCCCTCTTTTCTCGAAGTGATGTCAGCTCCAGCACCGCTCCAATGGGAGGCAGGCATCAATCAGGGAGCCTCTTTTCTCCAATAGGAAACTCCATTGTAGAAATTCTTCTTTTACTTATTTATTTATTTAAAAGCAGACAAAAGTGGGAGGGGGGGACTAAAGCCGTAGAAGAAGGGAAATACAAGGAAATGTAACTTTATTAAAAAAAGAGAGAGAGAGACCATAAACAAGGCGTGCCACACTTCTATTAAGAACCTAAGACGTAATGCCATTGCAAGAATCGTGCGCTTGCCAGTTGGAAAAGGAGAACTTTTGATTTCAATAAAGAAGATCCAGGTGTAAAAAAGTCGAGGGTTCCCCCCCAACCCGCATTTTTTGCAGGGTCTTTTCAGTTTGTAGCCACGTATGGTTACTTGGAAATAAGTTCCAGTCAACTGGACTTACTCCGGTCTTGCGTAGTCATAAAGGTTTTTTTCTGAAATAAATTTCGGAAGGGTTAGGTTTGCAGTCCCAAGTTTTGTACCCCAAGGTTTGTCTCCTACTGTGTGCATTTTCCTCTGTTCGCTCGTGAGCAACGCTCTCTCTCAAGAAAGGAAACGAGTACCTACAGGTACTGCCGCTGAGGCTGTCCTACTTTGGGCACATCATGATTCTTTGGGGGGAAAAATAATGCTAGGGAAGATGGAAGGCAGCAGGAAAAGAGGAATGCCAAATACGAGATACTGTAGACAGACTTCCTAAAGGACCCACAGGCTTGCGTATACAAAAGCTGAGCTGAGCAGCTGGATACTGGACATTTTTGAGATTGCTTATTCATAGAGTCGACATAAAAGGGGGGCTTCTTGACAGCAGATAACAACACCTGACACTGCTTGTAAGAAAATAAATGCAAGTTTAGAGGATACTTTTATTATTTTAGGTCTATTAGATTATATTTAGGTTCTGCGATACGGTATATAGTCAGGCTTTGAAGGAGAATTTCCCATCACTAATTGCCACCAACTGTCAGGCATTATTTTGCATGTAATTATGAAGAGGAATCCAATACCACAATGAATAAAGCATTTACTTGTCCTTTGCTGCCTTCCTTCCCCCCCATGTAGAAAAATATTGTTTTGCGTATTTAATTAAACTATTTTTTGGAATTTTTACAACAGAAGGCTTGTCTTGATTTCTGATTGCGGTTTTAAACCGCACATGGCTGGGTCCTCTGCAAATTTAGAAAGAACTCCACCAAGTTCAGCTTTAATGTTGTTTTATGCCAGCTTACATATTTTGAAGATGGGATATAACTGCTTGAAGTGACAAATGTGGACCCTCAAAGACTAATGGTTTGTTTGACAGCAGCGTTCATGGACTGCAGCCTATTCAGATGCCCAGTTCTAAAAGGTGATCGCTGGCAGTAAACCATGACAGCTTATGCCAAATGCATTAGTCATTAAGGCCGCACAGGACTCTTGATTACTTTCCCACAATATACTTACAAAACTTTGCTCCACTTACAGTATTCCCATGTGACTGCATGGAATTGTTGTAAGCCGCCCAGAGACGTTTGGGTAGAGTGGGCGGCATATAAGTTAAATAAACAAACAAACAAACAAACTGCATGCCTGTTTGAGGATATTCTATTGATATTAGCAGAATTTACTATGAGTAAGGTTAGATTAAAACATTTTGCAATGTGCTCTAGCAAATTTGAAGATAAATTAGTTACATGTTGTAACAATAGCTTGGTGGCTTCGGTATGATTAAGAGATCGATTCTCTACTGTGCCTCCTTGAAAGGACTTGATCATCCATAAGGTCCCTTCCAGCTTTGCAGTTCTAAGAGGAGGAGGAGGAATATGCTTCAGGTTGCACTATTGTTTCCCACTCTGTTCAATCTGTATGCAGAACATATATGGAAATCTGGATTAGATGTAGATGAAAGGGAAGTGAAAATTTAAAATATGCAGATGATAGTATGTTGCTGGCAGAAAACAGCAATGACTTGAAATCACTCCTGCTGAAGGTGGAAGAAAAAAGAGCAAAAGCAGAACCACAGTTGAACATCAAGATGACAAAAATGACTGCAAAAGAATAATAAAACTTTAATACCAACAATGAAGAAACTGACATTTAAATTGTTAAAGGCTGTGTACATCTAGGTTCAATCAATCCAGGTGGTCACTGCGACCAAGAAACCAGAAGAGTAAGACTTGAAAGAGCAAAAATGAAGGAAGTAGAAAAGACTACCAAGTGTAAAGGTGTGTCACTGAAGACCAAGATAATCCATACCATAATATCCCAAATTACTATGTATGGATCTGAAAGGTAGACAGTGAAGAAAGCAGATGGTTAATTCAAAATAAAGTGTGAGAGAACAACTTTGTAGATACTATGCATTGCTAGAAATATTAACATATTGGTGCTAGATCAAATCAAGTCTGAACTCTCCCTAGAAGCAAAAATAATAAAACCGATAGTGTCATACTTTGATTATATCAAGTGAAGAGAAAACTAGCTGGAAAAGAAATAATGGTGGGAAAAGTTGAAGATAGCAGAAAAAGAGGAAGACAAATATGAGATCAATAAAGGCTTGAGCTTGCCCTTATTGAGCAGAAGCTGTTAATGATAGGACAGTGTTGAATTTTACCTCATTATTTGATTTATTTAAAATTTTTACATTGTGTCTGTGTTCCTACTCATAACAGATTAGCTGAGAAATGAAAATAGATCTTCCCAACAGTAGTAAATTGTTGTGAATTATCCCTGTTCTATATCTGTGAAGATTCTCAGTCATCCAGGTGAAGTTGTCTGGTAGTTGAATTATGGCAACCAGACTTACAGTATTTCTTATTAGGTTGAAATATTTTGCTACTTGTCCAAGTAAGAGAAGCTACTTGGATCAGTAGTGAAACCTTTCAACCTAATATGAAATAACTCCAGTTACCATCACTCAACTTCCAGATATCCCTGTTCTAATGCAAAGTGTTTTGGGATGGTTTTGTCCTGAATGAGCAATTAAGACCCATTTATTTTAGGAAATACCTGCTGCTGGCAAAAGATGACAAGTTTCTAGTGATAGAGATCAACACAGCTGCCAATTCTCCTATAACTGTATGCTGAGATGAGCACCTGTTGTTGAAAATTTACCATTGCATGTGCATCATTTGCTGAATGTCCAATTGTGTTGCAATTCTTTTCCATATTTTCACAATTAACAAAAATCATACACAAAAGTGACTCACATTAACACCATGCTAAGTGTGCAGATGGAGTGTTGCCAGCTTTGCAAGTCAGCTAATGACTAGTGGTATTTGTTTTAGCTCCTGACAAAACGACTGAGTAGATAGCCTTCCGTAGCCATCGCCCCACCCAAAAGCCATCTCCCTGCTCCCAGGAGACTGCATGTTTTGTCCACTTCTAAAACTGCCCTGATCTAGAGGCCAACAGAACTGTAGAAGGCACCATATCACATGAGAACTTCCATCAAGGTTGTTTGTATGTAGCTTCCAGCAGAACTTGGAAGAGTCAGTTTTTGAGATTACAGTTCCCAGAATCCTTTAGGGTTAACTAGGGCAGGGTATTCTGGGACCTATAATCCAAAAAAATGTCATGTTTCTCAGTACTGCTTGGTAGGAACTGCTCTGTGCCTTTGTCAAGTAGTAGCCTACAGCAGAAGCTGGTCCGCAGTTTTTGCTGGAGTGTCCATCTACTGTGTAACCATCCCTCTGATCAATTAAAATTCTGTAGAGGACCACCTACCTTATCTTAGGCAGCAAGGCTGAGGTCCATGATGCTGCATTCAAAAACACAACTCATTTATTTCTGTGTAGAGGAGTTTCTTCCACAAAGGAAAGGCTTCATATATATAACAGCGTTATATCTAATTCTACATCTGCTTTATTGGGAGCAAGGGCCACTGAACTCAACCAGACGTGGTTCTGAAAAGGCAAGCGTTGTCTTATACTGTCAGTGCATTTTAAAATTATTCTGTAACTGTGTATGCTCAGAATCACTTGAGAAAACAATATTATTTCCATGTATGTTTTAACATGGGATACCTAGTATGGTGTCATGGATAGAGTCACAGGCTAGGACTCAGGAGGTCTAGGTTCAAATTCCTGCTCAGCCATGGAAACTCACTGGGGGAGTGGAACGGGTATGACCACTCCTTAAATATCTGACTTACCTTGGAAGCCCTGTTGTTTTGCTTAGTCATGAAGTCGTGTCTGACCCTTCGTGACCCCATGGACCAGAGCACGCCAGGCCCTCCTGTCTTCCACTGCCTCCCGGAGTTGGGTCAGATTCATGTTGGTTGCTTCGGTGACACTGTCCAGCCAATCTCGTCCTCTGTCGTCCCCTTCTCCTCTTGCCCTCACACTTTCCCAACATCAGGATCTGTTAGCCCTTCTAGGGTCACTATAAATCGGTTCCAACTTGCCCACACATAACAACCTATTTGAACACGCCTAAGTGTAGCACTTTGTTGCATTAAAAAATCCAGATAACTAAGGAATGAGGTGGCCAGTTTGCAGTCCTCTCCATTACAGTTTTTAGTGTCAGCCAAAATTATACAATAGTTAGTACTCTCTAGTTTAATGAATCCACGATAAAGCAACATGGTATTTTCTCACACAGTCTCAGTTAAAGAACCCGGCTATTTTTTTGTTATTTTATAATCTTTTCCAGGTCAGTTAATCAAGAATAAAAGAAAACAGAGGAGAGCACAAAGAGTAAAAGTAGGATATTTTCCTAAACAGCACTCAGACTGTTCTTTGTGAGCTGCTTCCCCCACATTTCCTGCAGATATTGCATAACAATAACTCTGAGGTTATAATGGGGAGAAACTGGAGAATTGGAAGGCCACCCATGTGACTTGTGGGTT